TGGCAGCAGAGGAAGGGGGTCGAGGCAGCACTAGTCGCAGCCAAGAGAGGCCAGTGCGCCGGGTGTCATCCAGCGGTCGTGTCTCCACGACAACACCTGCTGTCATCGATTGGTTGACTCGGTCGTCTTCCTCTTCCAGGTCACCTCTGACACTACAGAAAAACCGCAACGGTCGGTGGGTACGTCAGACACAACCGTTAGTTGGCATGGCCCGGGAGCAAAGCCCCACTGAAATCACGTGTCCTCGACTGCCCTGTCCTTTGGTGTTCCCTCACACACGCCAATACGAAGTATCACATGCTGTGGGCTCAGCCCCACTGTACAGTGAGGAAGAGCTAACAGTGGGCGGTCAGGAACGGGGGGAGACATGCGCCTCTTCAGCAACGCCAGGCGAAGAAGTACTGGCGAGGAGAGTGGCTCGGTAGCCGGTCTAGAGACAGGTCTGTCTCTGACACACGCAGCCGAGGGGGCTAGTAGTGACGCGGAGACCCTAATTGATGATGATGATGAGGCTGATCGCACTTGGCAGCCTCATCGTCATCAGGCTATTGCTTCCGCATCATCAGGGCAGAAGAGGGGTGCAGCTTGGCAGCGAGCAAAACAGTCGGTGGGTTGCCCAGGAGGCAGCACGGTCGCAGCAGTGTCAGTGGAGCCAAACGGCCACCGGAGTAGAGACCAGCTCCACTGCACAGCCTACCACCACGACCAGTAGTGGTGCCGGTGTGCCACGGAGGAAGTAGCAGTCAGCCAGTGAGGAGTAGCGGGGGCAAAAGTTTCCTACTCGGCGGTGTGGCAATTTTTCGTCAAGCCGCCCGAGGAAGTAAAGTAGCCGTAGTATGTCGACTATGTGGCCAGAAAGTCAAGCGTGGCCAGGGGGCAATGTTGGGACTACAGCGTTGCGTCAGCATATGCAGCGTCGCCATTCGGTGGCCTGGGAAAAACCGTGATAAAGATACGGCGGTTCTGCCTGCCCAGCCCCCGCTCCATCACCGCTCCGTACTTGCTCGTTTCACCCGACGTCAATCGCCCTCTATCAGCCAGTCAAGGCTCCAACACCTCTGCTGAGGGGAGTTGTCGCTCGTTGGCATCTTCCGCTCGTTCAGATGCTCTTCTCCTGCTACTCCCTTTCACGGATTCCGTCAGCAGTCTTTCTTGGAATCCGTTTCCAAGAGACAACGTTTGCGAGCACGCACCGACGGTGCAAAGCTGAACGTCCTCTGTCCAAGTTGTCTGGTGGCAGCAGTCCTTGCTTTCCAGAAAAGCACCATTCCGAGGAATGATGGCTTGTGCCGAGCCGCGGTGGAGAGTGCCAAGCCGGCATTTCTTCGCCAAAAAGGCAGTGCCAGCCCCTGCATTCCAACATGTAGAAGAGATGGTGGGCCAGTCTTTGAGCCATGTCGGTCTCGTGCCAAAGTGCACGGCAGCGCCGACGTGTGGAGCTGTAACTACGGTCAGGGAACAGTACATGTCATTTAGGCCCACTGGGGTGAACGTAGGTGCCGGCAGCCGCACCCTAGCAAACATTGGAAGGTCACGCCGCTTTTGCCTCCACTCATGCACGTCCTTGTGTCCGGCCAAAGATGTCGCCTTACACCTCTTCTTCCCGCCGTGTCCTCAGCCAATTTCCACCCCCGTGCCAAGTCCCATTACCGAATAGATATCACTGTGCAGGGGCGCACGTGTCACGCTGTGCTGCACCTGGTATGCCTTGGCGAACGTAGCCACACAGGGGATGGAATTCTGAGTGTAATGAAACAGAGAAATCGACAGATGGCTGTCTCCGCGCAAACTGAAAAATCGGAACCATGTTGACGACAACGGAAAAGAAAATGGTGTTCTGCTCTGCGTCAAGGAAGGTTGTGCCATGCGCATGGTCTACTATGGCTCACGTGTTCAATCTGGTTGTCAAGCGGTATCCTAAAATCCACCATCCCACTGCAAGACATCCTTAAAATGTCACGTAAACTTTGCATGCATTTCAGCCATTCCTACACCGCAAAGCACACCCTCTTGAGCTGCAGCGGCAGAACGGAATTCCACAGCATATAGCCTGATCTGCGAGACGTTGCAACAAGGTGAATTCAACCCTACATATGTTAGACCGCCTCTTTGAACAGCGAAAGGCCATCACCGATTTCCTGATGTTACAAGCGGATAAAGGTACTCCCCTGTGTAACTTAGATGTCAAGCATTGGCAGCTCATGCGGTGACACCTGCCGCTTTGTCAGGCTGCCCTTTGAGGAGGCCACGCTATTCGTGAGTCGGCAGGGACTATGGGGAGGAACGACGTCAAAAGGACAGGGTCCCCTGTTGCACGTCCTGGAACAATGCTGTTAACAATGGCTAGGTCAGGGTGCGGTAGACGTGGCGCACTCGATCTCACGCCACATGACCCCTGTGGGGGGCAGGGACAGGAAAGAGGGAGGAGGTAGAGGAGGACATGGTGCTCAGGAATTATTGAGTGAATGGGTGGTTTTTCCACTCAGCGGACAGGAGTGGTGGAGCGGAGCATCTGGTAGATTGGTAAAAGGAGGAGGAGGAGACAGAGGACCCAGACGCACCGTGGCAGTATGCTGTGGAGATGGAGGCAGGGAGTCCTCGCATTCCTTGGCACAAATGGCCCATAGCATGCTCGGTTGCTTGCGTAGCGACAGTCCGAATAATAACCATCAGGGGAGCAGAGGGATGACTTTTGGCTGTCCACCTTGTTGGACCCCGCTACCGTTCAAAAATGGTGGCCTTTTTCACACCTGCTGAGAGGGAGGCCAAATAAAGTACTATAAAAACCACCTATGTAGTCAGTTGGTCTCTGCCTTTGCGCCCAACGTCCATCCTCAGACACTGTGGGCCCTGTGCGCTCGCGTTCCCGCTGCCATGGCAGCAGGGGAGGGGTGGGGTGGTAGGAGCAGTGGCAGCTCCACCAGCAGCGGCTGCCTCAGTCTGCAGTCGATGATGAGTAGCTTTTTCACCAGCGCAGTGAGGAAACTACTAACCAGCCGCAGCAGCAGCAGCATCAGGTGGACCTGGAGCAGGACCTCAAACAACAGGCTTGGGCCTACTTGGACAGCACCTGCCAACCGAGGTAGACAATCCCCCTTGACTAATACTGGGCAACGAAACTTGACCTTTGGCCCCAAGTAGCTGAATTGCCCTTGAAAGGCTGTCATGCCGGCCAGTAGCGTGGCATCGGAGCGCGTGTTTAGTGAGGCAGGAGGTATTGTAACTCCGCGGAGGACACGACTGTCCACCCAAAGTGTGGAGAGACTCACGTTTGTGAAAATGAATCAGGCGTGGATTAGTCTGGATTTCAAACCACCAGTTCCTGACACAACTGACTAAATCCGCATGATCATGCCCCAAACAGTGTTTATAGGGACAAATGGAAGACCTCCACCTGATCCGTACATTTGTATATATATTTTATTGAGAGGCTGCTGGTCGGCCGACTCATTTTTGCACATTTTAATGACTTATACTCTGCAGGTCGGGCCCCTCATGAATTGGGGTTTTTAAATTATTTTATACTTCGCTGGACGGACCCGTCACATGAATTGAACCTTTTTAATGACTTATACTCTGCTGGTCGGGCCCCTCATGAATTGGTGTTTTTTTAAATTATTTATACGTCGCTGGAGACGGTGTCACATGAATTTAAACTTTTTAATTATTTTCTAGTCGACCAGTTCCAGACCGATGGAATAGCAATTTTTTAAATATTTATTTGACACGTGTTGTCCATCTCATCAATGAGGTGGACTGTTTTATTTATTGGCCACGGTTTGGCCCCCTCCTGTTCTTACATTGTTAAACTTGTTGTATCGGTCACGGGGTTTGGCCTCATGTTTGGTTGTCTTGTTAAGATTTTCTGTAATGTACACCAGTACGCTTGACTTGTCGACTTTCCACAATCTATACTAGGTATAGCATCGAGCATCAAAGTTTTTTTTTTTTTTTTTTTGGTCTAAACCATTTTCGTATAATGTCAATTTGTAGGATACGCCGCTGTAAGGCGACCTACTTTTTGTCACTGTGTAGACATCTATTTATAGGCCGATGTTTGGCCAGAAAGATATATTTAGTAATAACCTAGCCGTTCAAGCCGCTCACTGAAAACACCTCGGGAAATTGCTTTGTATATCTGTTGCCTTAGGGGCCGCTGTCTGGCGACATAATTTTTTGTCACTGTGTAGACATCTATTTATAGGCCGATGTTTTGGCCACAAAAATATATTTAGTAATAACTTAGCCGTTCAGGCCGCTCCCTGAACACCTCGGGAATTTGCTTTGTATATCTGTCGCCTTAGAGGCCGCTGTCTGAACAGCTCATGAATTGCTTTCTATATGTGTCGCCTTTGAGGCCGCTGCTGGGACAGCTGATGAATTGATTTGTATATATGTACTTATTGTCCGCTGTCCGGGACAGCTCATGAATTACTTTTTGTATATAGCCTTCCAAACCACTCTCAGAATAAGTCATGATATTCATGCTGTGTATAGCCTTATAGGCCAATGGTCAATCAAGTCATGATTGTTATAATGTGTATAGCCTTATAGGCCGCTGTCTTTACAACTTTATAATTCCATGCAGTATATAGCCTATTGGCCACTTTCTGGCATCCAGTTGCTGTAGCCCCATCACCACTGTGCCACGGGCCCCTGTACCGCCTTCTCATACTGCTGCCAGATCCATCCTCTGCCATGTGCGTCTTTGTCGTCTGCTCACGCTGCTGGGTTCCAGTTTTAAACCTAGGCCTGTGTATGGCTTCCGAATACTGCTGCCTCCACCGCCACCCTGCGCCATGTGCTCTGTGTCTGCTCACGCTGCTGACGGCTTCCGCTTTTTAACCTAGGCCTGTGTATGGCTTCGAATACTGCTGCCTCCACCGCCACCCTGCGCCTGTGCCTCTGTCGTCTGCTCACGCTGCTGACGGCTTCCGCTTTTTTAAACTAGTCCTGTGTATGTCTTCCGAATACTGCTGCCTCCACCGCCACCCTGCGCCATGTGCCACTTTTCGGGTCTCCTCACACTGCTGCTAGGTCCATACTGATTCATGGCCCCCTGTACCGGCTCTCATGAACGTGGTTCAGCGGGTTTGCATCACTTAACGGCAAATCGTTGACAAATGCTGGGACGTTCAGTGTTGTGCGCATTAAGCCAGACACCAAAGGGCAGCACAGACCTGTTATTACTCGCTCAAGCATGGCTGAACAAAAACCAGTCTCTACCACAAATTGGACCCAGACCTGCCCAGGGTCTCGTAACTAGATTGCACGGAGGAGTAGAGTCCGTTATCGGAATTAAATAGCCAAAACGCCACACCAAAAAGAGTGGCCATTTCCAACACTTATTCCAGAAAGAGGAACAACCCGTTTCATATACAGCCCGTAGACGTTTCATGTCTGCCACATTCAGTCGATTTAAGACGCAAGCTCACTTCCTGTGGTCTCTGACCGTCGATATACCTTTAAGTGTCAGCTTTGAAGCTATATTCCCTCCGGAGCACTGACACTGGTGCCCTTCCGTCAACATGCCTTTAAGTTTCAGTTTTCAACCATTATTCCCCACAGAAGCCAAACTCTTGGGTATCCCAGAAGCTGCTCAGCGGGTCAGGGCAATAAAGCTCCCGGTTCGCAGGTTGTTCCGTCTTATGGATGGAAGTACGACGGTATATGATCTTCTTCGCACCCACGGCATTACCTCATAAAATTTCTGCATTGCATCTGCAATCACAACGCTGACTTCCCGGATCGCCACTCAGCCATTGGGACTCTTGATAGTCGTCTCCCCACACTGCTGCTGGGGGGACTTTTTAAACCTAGGCCTGTGTTATGGCCTTCAATTGAAGCTGCTTCCGCTCCGCCACTCTGCCATTGGACTCTTGATAGTCGTCTCCCACGCTGCTGCTGGGGGGACTTTTTAACATAGGCCTCTGTATGGCCTTTAATTGAAGCTGCTTACGCTCCGCCACTCTGCCATGGGCCTCTTGGGTATCCCAGAAGCTGCTCAGCGGGTCAGGGCAATAAAGCTCCCGGTTCGCAGGTTGTTCCGTCTTATGGATGGAAGTACGACGGTATATGATCTTCTTCGCACCCACGGCATCACCTCATAGAATCTCTGCATTGCATCTGCAATCACAACACTGACTTCCCGGATCGCCACTCAGCCATTGGACTCTTGATAGTCGTCTCCCCACACTGCTGCTGGGGGGACTTTTTAACCTAGGCCTGTGTATGGCCTTCAATTGAAGCTGCTTCCGCTCCGCCACTCTGCATTGGACTCTTGATAGTCGTCTCCCCACGCTGCTGCTGGGGGGACTTTTTAACCTAGGCCTGTGTATGGCCTTCAATTGAAGCTGCTTCTGCTCCGCCACTCTGCCATTGGACTCTTGATAGTCGTCTCCCCACACTGCTGCTGGGGGGACTTTTTAACATAGGCCTCTGTATGGCCTTCAATTTAAGCTGCTTACGCTTCGCCACTCTGCCATGGGCCCCTGTACCGCCTCCTCTTGCTGCTGCCAGGTCCAGAGTGTGTCATGGCTCCCTGTACGGCCTCCCATTGCTGCTGACTTCATCGCCAGACTCTGCCATGTGCCACTTTCAGGTCTCCTTACACTGTTGGTGGGTTCCATTTTGTGATAGGGTGCTGTATGGCCTTCCATTTGCTGCTGCCTCCACCGCCACCTGCGCCATGTGCCTCTGTCGTCTGCTCACACTGCTAACGGCTTCCGCTTTTTAACCGAGGCCTGTGTTTGGCTTCCGAATACTGCTGCATCCACCGCCACCCTGCGCCATGTGTCTCTGTCGTCTGCTCACGCTGCTGACGGCTTCCGCTTTTTAACCTAGGCCTGTGTATGGCTTCAGAATAATGCTGCCTACACCGCCACCCTGCGCCATGTGCCTCTGTCGTCTGCTCATGCTGCTGCCAGGTCCATACTGATTCATGGCCCCCTGTACCGGCTCCTCATGAACGTGGTTCAGCGGGTTTGCATCACTTAACGGCAAATCGTTGACAAACGCTGGGACGTTCAGTGTTGTGCGCATTAAGCCAGACACCAAAGGGCAGCACAGACCTGTTATTACTCGCTCAAGCATGGCTGAACAAAACCAGTCTCTACCACAAATTGGACCCAGACCTGCCAGGGTCTCGTAAGTAGATTGCACGGTGGAGTAGAGTTCGTTATTGGAATTAACTGTGAGGGACTTTTAAACCTAGGCCTGTGTATGGCCTTCAATTGAAGCTGCTTACGCTCCGCCACTCTGCCATGGGCCCCTGTACCGCCTCCTCATGCTGCTGCCAGGCCCGTAATCTGCCATGGGCCCCCGTACCGACTCCTCATGCTGCTGCCAGGCCCGTAATCTGCCATGGGCCCCCGTACCGACTCCTCATGCTGCTGCCAGGCCCGTAATCTGTCATGGGCCCCCTGTACCGCCTCCTCATGCTGCTGCCAGGTCCAGAGTGTGTCTGCCATGGTCCCTGTACGGGTCCTCCCATTGCTGCTGTCTCCATCGCCACACTCTGCCATGTGCCACTTTCAGGTCTCCTCACACTGCTGGTGGGTTCCATTTTGTCATAGGGTGCTGTATGGCCTCCCATTGCTGCTGCCTCACCGCCACACTGTGGCTCCACACTCTGGTTTTGGCCCCGTGACTGCCCAAATGAGTGAAGTGTGCGGTGATTCTAAGATCGACGGCACTCATCTGCATGTCATACTGACTGACAGTATTATTTCTCTTCCCCAGCAGACTCCAAGGGCATTTAAATTAAAGGTACAGTGTTCTGCACTAATATAAAGGCTCTCTGAAGCCTAGAAACACCCTTTTTATAAGTTAAATTCGCAGCGAATATATTCGGCTCGAAGCGAATTTATTCGGCGAATTCGGCGAATCAGCCGAATCGAATTTTTGAATAATTCGCTCATCTCTACTGGTGACCAATAGAAAAATTGCATGTATACTGAGATGATGCAATATTAGCCTTTAATTGCATCACTTCACTGCATAAAAGCTGCAGTATCTGTAGCTGATTGTAGTTCGACAGCGTCTTTACATTTCGTTTTATGCTTATATAGGCTACTCAGTAATGCCTCGAACTTGTGTGAATAAAGCAGATAATTTCTGCTACATCTGCGGTGAAATAACTTTTATCTCACAAAAAAGGAGGATAACAGGAATGATTAAGAAAGCCTACAACTTGTATTTTGGCTGCAAGATAGGAGACCAGGACAAGAGCTGGGCACCACATATATGCTGCAATTCTTGTGGGACGGCACTGGAGCAATGGTTGAATGGAAAAAAGGCATCGAATTTATCAAATATATAACAGTCTTCTGGAAATACTGCAAATTTTTTTGAATCCACCCAGACCAACAAATATTATTATTATACAGGACTTATATAGCACCAACAGTTTGCACAGTGCTTTACAACATAAGGGAGACAGTACATTTCAGTACAGAGGGAATAGTAGGGTCCCGCTCGTGGAGCTTACAATCTAAAGGTAAGGGAAGGTGGTACAAAAGGTGATAGCTGTAGGATATATTATATATATATATATATATATATATATATGACAAATGCCAAAGATATAAAACAAATTCCACAAATTATTTGGTTCGACATAAATAACATGACAAAACAAAATTATTCAATTAACGAATGCATCGGAAAAAAAAATTAGATGAAAATTTCTTGTGTGCACATGTCTGGTGCCCAAATGTTTTGAAGCCTATGGGAGAAAAATCTTGTTATTTTATTTTGCCTTTTTCTTAAAACCAATTTGCAAGGTTTTAGGTAAAAAATACTGAGATTTTTGCACTTGAACCAAGAAAATAATAATGCCACTAAATGACAGATCCTTCCTGTCAGCTTGTTTGTAAACAAAATGTTTGGGGTTTCCTGGCATTGACCACATATGGGCATGACCATTTGTGGTTAACGAGGTCACTCAGTATTACCAGCCGGTTTGCTGACATTCAGCAGTTGTCCAGGGAGCTGCCATTTGTGGGAGTGGATCTACATGGTTACAGGTTATTACAGGTTACCAGTTTAAAATTACACAAGACGTCTAATGCTAGAATTATTTCTCTCTTGATAATGTCGTGGTGTGTGGTGCGACACTGTTTACATATGGGTGCGCAACCTACATATGCCTTTAAGAGTGAGCATGGGGGATGAGGGCACTTTAAATTTTTGTTTTGTTTTTATTTTTATTATTTATTTATTTTTTCTTTAATTTTTTAAATCACTTTTATCATTATCACAAGGGATGAACAACATAGCTTGTGATAACTGAAGCAGTGACAAGTCCTCTTTATGGAAAAATCTGAGGTCTATTAGACCCCAGATCTCTCCTCTTTCCCGAAAAAGCATCTGATCAAATCAAGATAAAAAACACTGAACATCATAGTTCCCCTACAGCGACCGTGGCAGAGCAGCATACTTTGTTTTGACAGGGCTATTTTGGAGTGCACAAGAGAGGGTGACGACATTGCAGCTAATTTGAGTAAGCATTGTTACACTAGGAAATGAAACATTTATGGCTACATTTTGCTGATATGATCACCCATTATAAGTTAATTTATAGTAGGAAATATAAAAAAGATAAAACTTGACATTACAGGATCATGTACAATAGCACATTTAGTTTGTGTTAGGTTATATATACACTTTTATATACTATTTCATACAGGTGTCACAGAAATTTTGAATTGCACATCTTCTCAGCATTTTCCCCAAATTACGACTTAAAGCTCAACTCTAGGTAAAATTATTTTATTTAACCAGTTGCCATCCGGCCTATAGCCAGATGGTGGCCAGGCAAACAGCTCCATCCTCCAGGTGGACGCCATATGGCATCCTTTCAGGAAGACGCATTGCGCATGCCCGCAGGGCAACGCTGCAGCGCGATCTGTCACCGGCTGTGTACCTCGGACACGGCCGATGATAGATCTGTGTACCGGCCCCACTGCCAGTACCGTGTGACCTGCTGTGACCAATCACAGCAGGTCACATGGCAGTTGTATACAATGGATGGCTTCCTTTCATGCCATCCATTGTATGCAAGTGTGTCTAACTGTGAATGGTCACAGCAATCCCATGCACAAGCTGGGCCAATCACAGCCCAACTAGGTCATGTGATTATCCGTGGCCAAATCACAACTAAGCACAAAAAAAAAAAAAACCCCTGAATGAATCAATATCATTCAGGTAAATGCTTGCTTATAGCAAAGCAATTATTTGCTATAAGCAAATTGTGTAAAAAAAAAAGTACTGATCACTTCCCCAAAGTAGTACAATGTTACTATGGTAACGTTATACTACTTTGGTCATAGTGAAATATGAAAAAAAAAAATCTTAAAAAAGAGAAAAAAGTAATAACAAAAAAAATTATCACTTTTTTTTTTCGTACTGTCACCAGTCAGTGTCCCTAATCACCGCCATGCCAGTTATATGATGATGCTGTACTGCACTGGTGACAGTATGTAAAAAAAAATTGTGAAAATAATTTTTTTCATTTCTTCACTTTCCAAAAATTATGGCAAAAAAATTACAACTTCAAAAAACTCGCCATGCCTCTCATGAAATACGTCAGGCTGTCTACTTTGCAAAAAGTGGTAATTTGAGGGATATCTGTACTGTTCTGAGATTCTTGGACCTCAAGAAATTCGATTGGCTGTCAGTACTTCAGGATTGATCAATTTTCAGATCTATCCCATAGTTTGTGAACTCTATAACTTTCCTACAAACTAAAAAATACATCCTAATTTGGGTTATTTCCACCAAAGAAAATGTACCAGAATACATCTCGGCCTAAATTTATGAAGAACAATTATTTATTTGCAAACTTTTATAACAGAAACAAAGAAAAATGTGTTTTTATTTCACAATTTTTTGGTCTTTTTTTGTTAATTTAGCAAAAAATAAAAGCCCCAGAGTTGATTAAATACCACCAAAAGAAATCTCTACTTGTGTGAAGAAAATGATAAAATTTTAGTTTAAACGCCACCCCCCACCTGTTGGGTACAGTGTTGCATAACCGCACAGTTGTCATTCAAAGTGTGAGAGCTCTGAAACCTGAAAATTGGCCTGGGCAGGAAGGGAGTAAAAGTGCCCTGTATGGAAGTGGTTAAATATATTCCTTGTGTGCTACCAATGCCTTTATAAACCCAACTATCAGCTAAAACATAGCTGTTTATAACCAGATAATAGTATCAACAAACAGTCTACTCAGAATCCTTGTGCAAAAGATATTTGTGCAAAAAAAGTGCAAACAAAAAAAACCCCAAAATAAATAAAATATCAATGATTTAAAAAAAAAAGTCCAATGGTGTTTAGTCCATACATTTTCTCTACCATGTGAGTATGCAGAAAATCAATTGTCAACGCCAAGTGCCCCCCACCTCACTAGGAAACACACTTACCAAAAGTGCATGCTTAACTAAAAAAACAATCAGGCAAATACAGCTCAGATGTTGTAAGTTCAGAATTATGGTGACCCAGGCCCTCCCTTCAGGCAAAACTCTCTCGTCCTCCAGCCATTTGCCTCCCAGGACATACATATAGAAATCAAAAAGACACTCCCATGGTGTAGTACCATCAAGAATACTTTATTGTATTCAAATAAAATATACTCGCAAAACGCAATCTTGTTAGTTGGCAAAAAGCATATGACAAGCAAAAGTTTGCACAGAGTGCATC